TTCAAAAGCTGATGCAATTATTGACAAGCTAAGAGTACAAGATGATGATATCAAGAAGATCGAAAAGGCTACAAGGGATCAATCAAATTGTAAACAATGGTTTGTAGAAAGAACCCCTAGAATTACAGCTTCACAATGTAAACGAGCTCTCATGAAAGAGACAACTAGTCCCACCAAAGCTGTGAGTGAAATCCTTGGCTATAACAACAAGATTCAAACTGGACACATGAGAGATGGCATTTGTTCTGAAGGGGAAATCATTGAACAATATATGAAAATAACAAATAACAAAGTACAAAAATCTGGCTTTTTTGTGTCAAAAACTCATCCCTTCCTAGGAGCCTCTCCCGATGGATTGATAGATGATGATGGATCTATTGAGGTGAAGAAAATCCACCCACATTACAATGAGACCTTGGAAGCAGCATTGAAAAGACTACACATTGTCAAAGATGTAGATGGATGTTTAATTGTTAATGAAAACCATAAATATTACTATCAGATGCAACAGCAGCTGTTTTGCACTGGTCGAAGATGGACTGACTTTGTGGCTTCTGATGGCACTCATTTGTTTGTTAGAAGAGTGGATTTTAATGAGGATTTCTGGAATATTAATTTACCAAAACTCAAGAAGTTTTTTTAAAACATACTTTTGTTAGAGTTAGCTTATCCCAGAGTGAAATATGGCATTGAAAGAATAGGTAAACTGGGAATTGAATTTTCTACTCTTGCTTCATTGAGACAAATTTAAAATTGTATAAGTTAAGACTGTCACAGTATCCATCAGTACAAGGTTTATATTCAAAGGTATGTATTCAAGGTATATATAACAAACGCGAAAAGGTGTCGAGTAACTGATGATCTCTCAATTTTAACTGTAGACGGCTGGTATTAATAGTAGCTGCTTTGATAGCTCCCAATGCGTGGTTGATAATTATTTAAGGTAGAGTATTAATTTGTAATAGTTTGGAGCTTTTTACAATTGAACTATTAAACTAATTGGAAATGTTGCATTTCTTTAATCTTCTGCAATGGTTTCGGCTGGAAAAGCGTGGCGGCCTAATGGTCATGGCGCCCTAGACATCCTACAGGTGTGTAAATGGGTGGAGGCGAATTTAAAATGGGGAGAAACCATGTGATGGACTAGCATCCCATCCAGGGGGAAGGGAGAGTAGAAATATTTCGTCGCTTAGGCTGTATGGGCTACTGGCCTGACACAGACTTTTTTAAATTCTAATACGTGCATCTCCATGAACAGTGCCGGCATGTGTTTTTTTTTTTTAGGACCCTCAGAGAAAAATTCCGAATTAAATTATTTAATTAAGTTGTGAACTTATCATTAATTTTAATCATAAATATTCTTATTTATTTATTAATTTACTTTAATTTTTTTTTATTTATTAATTTTTGGTCATTCCGGGAATTCCGGGTATTCCGAGTATTCCGGTTCCGGTTCCGAATTCCAGCATTCCTTGTTTTCCAAAACTACCAGTGTTCAGCGAATACCTCATGCTACTGAGGGGTGTCAAACCTTGGCTTGAATTGCTTATGCAAATGAGCTGGCTGCACATTGAGTGTGCAGCCAGTCATTTGCATAAAATTTTTTTCAGGCGCAAAGCTCGTCATGTTACAAGTTTTTAAATCAATTTAAACAGTTTTACACACAAATATTATGGGGGTAAGTTTCTAAAGAAACTGTGGCGCTGCGTCGGGGGTGAGGGGGGGGGGGCAACAAGGTCATTTGGTTTTATCAACATAAGTTGAAATTGTAAAATTGGCCACCATAAAGAGTCAAAAAGCTTTTTAACTCTTTACGATGGCCAATTTACAATTTCAACTTAAGTTGATATAACCAAATTATACAAATATAACAACGAGTTAAACTTACTTCGCTAGAGACACTTCATTTAAACAATCAAACGATGGCCACTGAAAATCAATCAGTATTAATTATAAAACTTTGTACTTCACGATAAAAAGCACAGTTGACATCGTAATTTCCACACTTAACACCAAACAATAAAGGAATTGATTTCCTTGCATAACTGCTCGATGACCGTGATGTTTCACAAAGAATATTAACAGCAGAGATAATTAGGGCATTACGTTGTATAGTATCCCATATGCCATACCTGGTAAGGCTTTTAGGCTTTAATTGTAGTGTTGATATTATTGTATAATATAATTAAAATAAGTATTGCATAATTGCTCAATAGCAATGGCCAGACCCTCTCTACTCCTTTTTCTTTTGCTTTCATTTGTTGGACGAGGAGCGGGGGATAATTATTGTAGCCTAGAAATCTTTTCACTCGTTTTGGCCAACCTTGGGATGAGGAATTAACAGAAAAAATGAACTTAAGATCGAAATCTGAGATAAAAAACGCCATTTTTTTAATTCTGACTTTAGACTGTTTTCAAATCTCGTTCATAAAATAATGTGATAACATTCCCTTCCGGATGGGAAAAAAAATTGGTACGTTCCTTTAAGATCCATTTAACTTTATATGAAAGTTATTTCTTTGTTGGGTTTATCTAAACTTTATCTTATATCCTTCCTAAATATCTTTTTTTTTTTGCATTGATTTATTGCTAACGAGATGTTATTTATTACAGCCAAGCTGAAGACATTTTTCTGTAACTGACATTTGAAGGACATAGTTCATATAGAATGAGTTGTCTGTTTGTCAACGAAAGTCAATAAACGAACAGCTGTGGCTTCAAATGAGCTGCAAACAAAGGATCACTCACAGTTTCTGGGCAACGAGTCGATTTTAAATCGTCACGACTTATAAGTCACTCGATAAACGATTTAAAGCGAGACTCGTTTGTTTGTGAATAGAAACGAGACTCGTTTATAGAAACGAGACTCGTTTGTAGAAACGAGACTCGTTTGTAGAAACGAGACTCGTTTTTAGAAACGAGACTCGTTT